GGAACACTTCTCCGAGGAGGCAGCAGGAGGCACCTCGAACAGCAGTCCGAGCAACCTCAACTGGCTCCACTCGATGTAGAGAAGCTGCAGCGACTCTACTTCGAGCTCCTGCCATGTGACTGAACTCACCCTCTCTCTTACCCAGCCACTCTACAGCCACTCTGCGCAGGACACTATGACCTCTTGTATTTGCAAACTTGTCGTTTCGTTATTACCCAAAGCTAGGGACTATGTTGGACTCAGCTTCCTCTTCACCACAGCCTGATACAGCTCTGACTACAGACGCTGCTCCCTCTTCACCATGCATTCTTCTCTCACTTGTGAACAAGCCCCCAATTGAACTCCTCCACTTGAGAAAGGACCTTTGCTCCCACCTGGAGAGTGTGTGAATCTATGGAGGAGGTTCAGTGCAAGTCAGGTGTGTGGAGATGGGTACAAGCACGCTCACAGCTGAGACACCTGCTACTTTTTCAGAGCCATAAAAACTGTAGTCTTTTTGCAATATTGTCTTTTCTTGAAAAAAAACTAGGTTTTGTAGCAATAAAACAGATGTTTATTGTCAAAATAGATAAATGGTAAATGAGCCACGACATGGAAGCAGAAGAAAGAGCACCATCTTCATCCAGCCAATCAGCTCTGACCCCAAAGAGTCAAAAAGTGACTTACAGGGATTTCAGGTATACAGCATGCGGTCTGAGTCGTTCACAGTTTTGGTATTTTTCCAATACTTTTATATATTTTTTTATATTTTTTAATATTTTTTATATTCAATTCACAGATAATACACAACAATTACAATTGTATGCATTGGGCTAAAAGCTGGGCTCAAGTTTGTTAGCTCTATTTGTTTGTTTAAGTAAGTAAGTAAGTAAGTAAGTTTTTATTTATATACCGCCTTTTCACTGCAGATCTGAGTCTGGAACACTTCTCCGAGGAGGCAGCAGGAGGCACCTCGAACAGCAGTCCGAGCAACCTCAACTGGCTCCACTCGATGTAGAGAAGCTGCAGCGACTCTACTTCGAGCTCCTGCCATGTGACTGAGCTCACCCTGTCTCTTACCCAGCCACTCTACAGCCACTCTGCGCAGGACACTATGACCTCTTATATTTGCAAACTTGTCGTTTCGTTATACCTTTCAGCAGGGCCGGAGTGGGAAAACATTTCAGGCCGGGAGCTTTTCATCCATTCAGGCCAAACAAGGTTCTAAATTTGGGTTTTTGTCATTGTATTGATGTTCTTTTAATAGTTTTAAGATTGACTGTCAAAACTTTTGTTTTCTTTATTTTTTTTTTATATTGACTGTTTATATAATCTCGGACGTTTAAGGATTGTTGTACGTTGTAACGTTTATGGAGTTTAGTGAGAATAAACACACACACACACACACACACACACACACACACACACACACACAATGAACTAAGTGTTCATTAGTGTATAACTCAATGGTGTAGGTTTGGTTCCAATCTTGGTGGGGACATTCACTACGACCTGAGTCTACACCCATTGACACGGGGTCCAGAGTTTCTCCCCCAGAATTTGTTGTGTAATCACACACTATATTTGCAATAGTGTGTTGCCTTCTATACTAAACTCAGCTGTAGACTGAATGAGAAGCAGTTAAGGATTTGTTCTAATAGTCAGAGGAGAAAATATTGAATTAGAATCTACAGTGAGTAGCTCACTACATTGTTTGACATATACGATCAATCTCTAAAAACAATTCATAGTCCCATGCATACCTACAAAATTCCAACCTCACCTGATGCACTGAAGGGCCTGTTGCTTCTACCTCAACATTCCCTATATTGTTCTCTCTTGTTGGTTGAGTTTCCTATGTATGTTAACAGAAGATTAATCATCACAATTCATAATTTGCTATTACTTGTGCTTTCTCTTACTTACTTTCCAACTGTTAAAAAAGCTCCTGATATCTTTTATCTTTTTTGTGGAGGTGGCATTTTTTCTAAATTATATAAGAAGGTATAGAAAATCAAAAACAGACATTCATATACATGAACTGCAGAATCATTTATATAACTTGGCCAATGTCAAAAGTTACATAGTATTTCTCAATACAATGAGTTAACAAGAGTTTGGCAATAAGTAACAGTGTGGATTTGTCTATATTTTCTTTTTTTTATTCCACTCTCAACCCAAAAAGGCAAGTAATGACTCACAGGGCTCTCAAGCAAAATAAAAACTTAAATGACCTGTTGTGGTGTGTTTTGGGCACAACCAGCATGCATCGTTAACGCAATGGAAAATTTAGGTATCCGAGCTTTAATTTCGGGAGCGCTGGTTGCGCTTTGGGAAGAGTCAGGGGAGAGACATGTCAGAGACACAGGGGAGAAACGGGGGAGATACGAGGGAGACCCGCACTTGCAACATGGTTCTGTCTGCATATGGTCCGAGCTCGGTACCATGTTAGAGCTGTGCTTTCACTGAGCGCCGCGGCTGTCATTACAAAGCGGCAGCAGCTGCACCAGGACGTGCACATTCGAGTGCATCTCTTGAATGTGCTTAGAGCAAATAACAGCAAGTGCCCGCTGTCACACATTTCACAGAAATCACATTATCAGCAGATAAAGGTTGTAAATCGTGGATCCGTGGAATATTTTCATCCCTAGTTTATCCTGATTCACACAACACACCCACTTATACATTTTGGATAGTAAGAGCACAATAAGTATTTTTTCAGCCTTTCAACCAACCTGTTTCTTTATTGGAGCCAGTTCTGTTCTGTCTCTGTGCCGTGTGAGCTCCTCGGAACATTAAACAGTGCGCTGACAGATTAGAAATAACGTAAGTACTTTGAATGGTAATAGATCTACAGTACTTTCCTCTGATTACTCACGTGCTACAACGCTCAGGGAACGAAAAAAAAAACACTTGCTTCACGCTGGCTAACTTTTAAAAATTAAACAGTCGCTCAGTGCTTCAGTTTGGCGCTGAAGAAGACAGCCAATCACTGCAGAGAACGGAACGGGTCACGTGCTGCTGCTGCTGCTGCTGTTGCTCTGGAGGCGAGGAGGAGGCGCGACGTATGCACAAACGGAAGACATGTGTCCCAGACCGTCCGGGTCACAGGACATCATGTCATTTTGGTGGGGACTTTTTAGTCCTCACCATATATTGGTGGGAACATGTCCCCATGGTCCCCACGCAAACCTACGCCCTTGGTATAACTATAACAAGCTAATCAATTATTGTTAAAAAAGTAGTAAGGTAAAATCACATCGTTACAGCTCATATAAAAGGAAAAATAAAAACGTGTATGAACCATCAGTTGGAGAGACCACTCATTTGAACCGGGGAAGCTACACTGGGTGCACTGCTAGGCTGGCCTGGCTTTGTAGCCGACGTGTGACGTCACATTTGTTTAATTTTGCTTTGGCCCAATGACAGTAAAGCTTTGGCCAGTGTTGTGCCAGTTCACAGCTTTTCTGAACTAGTTCAAGTTCAGTTAATACATGCTCAAAGTGAACAGTTCACGTTCGAAGTTCTCAATTTTAATTCTGAACTAGTTCAAATTTCAGTTCATTTTACTTTTTGCGAGATATTCAAATAAATATTTTTTTTCACTACGAGCTAGAAATCACAATACGTGGTATATATATATATATATATATATATATATATTATATATATAATTATATATTATATCCTGTACACTGCACAGGATGTTTTGACTCCAATGCAGACAAGATTTACATGGGTTTCAATGGGAACTGAGTTGTCCCATCTCTGCTCATAAGTACAAACTGTAATGCGCTGCAGTGCATGTGTCTATACTTTATGTCAAATGTAAACGGCCCTGTGTCACTGACTTACCCCCGTGTTTTCATCACGGCACATGTGAGTCCAACAACCAATGAATAGCACTAGCATATAGCGCCGCACCACCGCAAGTACACTGAGTCGGGGTGCGTTCACAGACGGTGGAAACCGTAGGAATTTTTAGTTTTCGGCGGAAACAGTGCGGAGAATACAGGAGGGAGGAACTTTCTCTCGTTGCGTTTCAAAAGAGAAAACAGATTTCACTCAGTTTTAAATGGAAAACAAATTGTCTGCCGTTCATGACACATAATATGAACTAATTCACGTTCAAGTTCTTTATTAAAAATGTGTTGCATTCAGTTCAACGTTCACGAAAAAATGAGCGTGTTCAATGAACGCGTTCTTTTGAACTCGTTCACGCACAACACTGGCTTTGGCCTGGGCCTTGCTCATTGGACCAGGCCACCAGGCAGGGTAGGAGTTTGCAAAGACCGTGAGGATGAAATTAAATTAAAAGAAAAAAAAAAAAAAGACCGTGATGATAGGGCAGGCCCAGGCCACTTTGACACGCAGGCCACCGGGAGATCTCCCGATGCTCCCGATGGCCAGTCCGGGCCAGCCTTTCAGGTTCACGACTCGTATACCTTAGAGTCGTATACCTTAACTTTTGTCGAATTGTGAATTGTTGTGAATAATAGGCTCGTGGAGGTTTTTTCTCTAAAACATGTTTCTCTCTTGGTTATAAGACCAAGTCAAAGCGTAAAAAGGCCTCCGAGAATAATGATCATTCTGCTTCACCTGCTGCTGGAGCTTTGTTCCATGTCTGTGCACGAACACTGCTCATGCACGCGAGTAGCGCGTGCACGCTCATCACATTCACATTAAAGAGTCGTGAGCCGCAGCGGGTCTCTCCTTTATCCTGCACTATTATGAGAGCGGCTCAAAGACATGAGTTTGAGTAAAGCACAGCAACCCCAGGTCTTAGATCATATATTTATTCGTACAAAAGTATCAGTAAATAGAATAGACTCTGTGTATTTACATTACAAATATTCAGCATCAGCAACAGGACAACAATAGAACAAAAAATAAATAAAGACAACTGAAGGAGGGGGGAAAGTGCGCGGCTCGGTGGGTCCAATAGAATAACATCACATTAGTATGTGTACGGGACATAGCTACAATCAGGACATCTGACATAAGGCAAAGTGTGATCCGTGTCAGCGGCACGGGGCAGAGCAATGTGCAGGACCCAGAGTCTGAGAGGCCTTCTGCGGGAGAGTCTGAGAGGCCTTCCGAGGCACAATCTTGGAGGCCTTCCGAGGCACAGTCTTGGAGGCCGAGAGTAGAGGCCTCCAGTGAAACAGGAGGAGACTGTCTGATGCCACATTGTTGCGGCACCGCTCTAGAGCAGTGCGCTGTGAGCTGCCGTACTCCCGCTGCAGGGAACTGTGGTCCCGCTGTGAGGAGCTGTCAGTGAGAGGCCTCCCGGGGCCTGGCTCTGCAGAGGCCGCTCTCCTCAGAACAGCCCCGAGGTGAAGGGCGGACCCGCGGGGCTGTAGTCCTCGGGACTGTCCGGGCTGGAATAGGACGGAGAGCTGGAGTCGGAGCAGTGGCTCCATGCCGGGCTCTGTATGAGCGCGTGCGTGAGGGGGTGTGAGCCAGGCCCGTGTAAGTCTGCGATGCGGATGGTTTCGGACAGTGCCCAGATGTAGTTGTGGGCGAAGCGCAGGGTCTCGATCTTGGTCAGTTTGGTCTCATCAGGGAAGGCCGGCAGTACGCGGCGGAGCGAGTCCAGTGCGTCGTTCAGGTTGTGCATGCGGTTCCGCTCGCGGTCGTTGGCCTTCACCCTGCGGTTCTTCTTCACCACGTGCACCTGCGGCTCACCGCGTGCGCGCCCCCGCCGTCTCTTCTTCTGCTCTGGCTCCACGTGCACGCGTTCCTCATCAGAGTGCGCATACATGTCGCAGCTGTTGCTGTCCACGTCAAAGACGGACTCCATTGCAGGACACCGGGAGGACACGGTGAAGACGCCGAGAGGACACCGGGAAGACACCGGGAGGTCGGAGACTCCTGCGGCAGAGGGGCAGAGTCTGTCTGAAGTGTGCGCTCGTGCGGCTCTGTCAGCTCGTGCGCAGGTCTCGTGAGCGGAATGGGATGAGGCTGCTCGTGCCTGTGCTTGTGGCACACGTCCGGCCTCAGTCCGCTTATATGTGAGCCAGAGGGGCCCGCCCCCAGCCCCCAGCTCCGCACCCCCCACGGGGGGATAAGCCCACATGAATGCGCTCTCGTGCCGCAGAGGGGGTCCCGGGGCGGGCGTCAGAAGCGTGCCGCTGCAGGCCGCTGGCCAATCAGAGAGCGGCGCTAGGCCTGGCCTGTGGACACAATGGCCCCCCGCCTCGAGCGCGCACGCACGCGCCTCACCTCAGCTCACGTGCGCGTAATTCATCCTTTCTTGTCTTTATGTACGTGCTCGTGCTTTATGTACGTCTCATTCACGAACCGGGAGGAGGGGGATAGACCGGAGCATCCGCACGCGCTGGGCCCGTGTCCATGGCCCGGGACAGGAGACTGACCCGCGGCTCTCTTCAATCGTCTTTGAAATGTCCCCACTGTGGGACGAAGAAAGGATCTCTTCACCATAACGTGATTTAAGATGGACTTTTCCAGATGAAATGTTTTAGAACTCAGTTGTATATTCAGAAACTGTCCAAAAGTTTGACCGTCAAAAAATCATCTCCAAAGTGTTTGTTCTCGTCTGCCATCGTGGTCACATCCATAATCCTAAAGTATAATAGTAATAGTTATGCTCTGTAAATTCTGAGAGATGAACAAACAACCCATTTTGTTCATGTCTCTCTGGAGGCTGCAGGGAAGTCACACTGAGTTATTAAAGCTGAAGACCTGTAACAGAGGACTCCAGCTGCAGCACAGGAGCTGTGTCTGCCGTGGACAGATGAAGAGTCTGTGTTTGATCCTGGGTCATTCAGTAGAATTCTTTAAGATGTTCTTCATGGGCATCTCTGGAATTTATTTATTTTTTGTAGAAAATTGTAGATCCCATTTTCTCTGACATTTCTAAACAACTTCAAATTCATCGAAAGAATAATCATCCAAATAATCGATTATCCAAAAAACTGTTAATTATTACTCCTTCAATCCCACTAGGGCAACCTGTCCCGGGCACTTTGTGGATTTTCTTTTCTCTTGAACTGTGATACACAAATAATTTAGCCGTGTCTAATCATGTCTATTCATTATTATTACTGCTTTTTTAATGTTATTTTTTATGTGTAAAATCCTATTCCTTTGTGGGCGGATTAGTTTTGTCTAAAAGTATTAAGAGCACACACGCACACACATACACATATACACCCACACACACACACACACACACACACACACACACACACACACATACACACAAACACGCACACACACACACACTCACACACACACATCCCCCTGTCAGGACCCCTCTCTGAAAGCGCTCCATTGATTGCATTTTAATGTGAGACTAACGACTGTTGAACGGTGCGTGCTCCAAAGACTCGTTTTGAGCCGGATTCTCCTCGGTCTGGACTGAGTCTGGGGTCCGAGAGGGAGGGTCTGTGAGGGGCTGGGGCAGGAGGGAGCTGCTGAGTTGCCATGTTTGCCTCCTTTCAGCTGCTTTGGGTGCTTCATTAGAAAAGTTGCTAATCTTCTCTGTTTTGACCATGGCATAAGTCCTGAACGCCAAAGCTCTTTTCCATTCTAAGTGTGGAAATAGACAGATGAAGAATTAAGAACCAAACTCTCTTCTCACAGATTTCTGAAAGGACAAAAATAAGTCAATTCCTCAATGAAAGACTAGCCTTTTGCCTCTAACTATTCTTATCTACAAATATGGTTCTGCCAAATCAGTCTTGAGAGATTAGACGTGATGGAAGAGGGTCAACAATATGTATTCTTTAATAAAATACATTAAAAAAATGCAATTGAAGTTACTGACATCACCTTTAAAAATTAGTTAAGCACAGATTCCAACAAGAAGAATGTTCTGCAATCACCAAGTCACTGTTCGGGGCTTAATTCACTGAGCAGATTTTCACTGCTGCAGACAGAATATGGGCAAATGGAAGAAAATGAGGAAGACATTTTTATTTTCATGGAATAATGCTCAGCCTCCAAAAAGTTACAACAGTTACTTTAAAAGCAACTTAACCCTTTAATGTTTTCCTCAACTATTTGGTAGATCACCTTTTGAGTCACTATACTGTATCTTACTTGAAGCTTGCTCAAAACTGAAATCTATCGCTTTAGTTTCTCAATTGGTTTTAGGCACTTTTACCATCATACTGCATCTCAACCATTTGGTAAAGGCCTGTTATTTTTTTCAAACAAAAAAACATGGGGTTCAAAAAAACAAAACATCCATCCATTAGTATTTCTACATCTTAGAAAAAATAAATAAAACAAATAATACTAATTCAACATCATTCAACATTAAAGGGTGGACTTACTTTTAGTCTTGTAAAAGCAAAATATGTGTCTTAATCTTAGTAGGACTCACATAGATAGATAGATAGATAGATAGATAGATAGATAGATAGATAGATAGATAGATACTTTATTGATTCCAGTAGGAGAAATTCAGGTGTCCAGTATAGCAGCAAAAATAAAAAATAATATCGTTCATCCTAAAAAGCTAACAATAGAAATAATGAGCAATGATAATAACATGGATGAGTGAGGGTGGTTCTGTCTCTTTCATTTTTCTGTCTGAAAAAGCAGATCTAGATATGGGACAGAGGGCCAAAATACATGCATGTGAAATCTTGTGAAAGAAGTTGAAAGTTGGTTTTGAGAACCAGGAACTGAGGATCTGCATCACTTCATGGCACATTTAGGTGCTTTTAAAGTCTGATGGCGGGCAACCACTTTGTAATTTGTGGTCATAAGAAAAAGAAAAACATGATCTGATGAAGGCATGAAGCCAAAACCTCATTTTGGACATCTGAGCTGAGTGTGCAATGCTACCCTGTTTTCTTTTCAATTTTGATATCCCACCTTTTAAGTGAACAGATCTGAGGACATTTAATATTCTGGAGACATTGAATGAGTTTAAAAAGGCGTAAAAGACCACCGCAGCTCTGCTTATGATGCTATAGATTATATAGGATACCAAAGGCTTACAGCTGCTCATCCCGCTCTGAAAACCTGGCAACTTGGGTGAGCAGATGCATAACTAACTTGGTGTAAGTCAGGACCAAAGCCAGCCAAAAGATCCACATTAATAAGACCACAATGCTCCTGGTTTGGGTCTTTGTGTGCCCCAGGAGACAAGCGTGGACTTCTCCATCAATTACCCCATTGTGGCGCGAGGAACGCCTCTCTCCATCGCTAAAGGACGCTAGGAAGGCCGCGGCGAATCACAATAGAGGATCTCCGAGTGCGCATCCAATAAATAACAAGGAGATTACTCGCTTGTCGTCAAAGTAAGAGTTTATTCGCTCATTAACTTTCCACTAGCGTCGACAATAGAGGATCTTTGACCATGCGCTCGATAAATTACGTGTAAAGATGTGTGATTGATAAAGGTTTACGAAGCCACAGTTTGCATGTTTGAGAATATTGTAATGAGCTCACAAAATGACTGTTTCACCTGCCACATATGTCCGCCCAGTTCTCTGAGTAGAATCTTCTGTCACAGAGTGCATATAATGTATGATCTGGGTCGGGGCCTCAGGACAAAAACGAAAGGCCTTGTAAAGATGTTGGCTGAAGCTGGTAGGAACGTGCCATGGACGGGGCAACCGCTCTGCAACCAGTCTGCAAAGAAGAACCCACAGTGGAGCTGGGTAGCCATGATGATTTTGCAAGGGGAGAACAAAATCCCAGTACTGAAACATGATGAAGGCTTTGCTGGAAGAAGATTGGGCGCACTTCTAAAAAAAAAACAACACAGATCAAGGAATCAAACAGTTCCAACACAGGAAATGCAATGAGGAAAAACACATAGAATAATTGGTCTATAAGGGGCAGATGACCAATGTCCATAAATGTTGATAAAGGTCATATATGTCATTGAATGTTGGGTTTCCTGGATCATCAGCACTGTCCTTAGACTCTACTACATCAGCATGAAAAAACTCCAAAAACCTAGTTTGAGAAAATGAGAAACCTTAGGGAGGCCCACACTGAGGGAGGTATCTGGTCTCATGGCGGGACGGGCTGTAGATCTAGGTTTTGTTGTAGAACGAGGACCGAGGCCAAGCGATGCAGTACTGAGGCTGTAGAACCAGGACTGAGGCAGTAGATCCAGGACTGAGGTTGTAGAACCAGGACTGAGGCTGTAGATCCAGGGCTGAGGCTGTAGAACCAGGAACAAGGCTGTAGACCCCGGACCGAGGCCACACGATGTAGGACTGAGGCTGTAGAACCAAGACAGGCTGTAGAACCAGGACTGAGGCTGTAGAACCAAGACTGAGGCTGTAGAACCAGGATCGAGGCCATACGATGCAGGACTGAGGCTGTAGAACCAAGACTGAGGCTGTAGAACCAGGACTGAGGCTGTAGAACCAGGACTGAGGCTGTAGATCCAGGACTGAGGCTGTAGAACCAAGACTGAGGCTGTAGAACCAGGACTGAGGCTGTAGAACCAGGACTGAGGCTGTAGAACCAGGACTGAGGCTGTAGATCCAGGACTGAGGCTGTAGATCCAGGACTGAGGCTGTAGAACCAAGACTGAGGCTATAGAACCAGGATCGAGGCCATACGATGCAGGACTGAGGCTGTAGCAGCATCACTAAGGAATAGTATGGTCAGAAAATAAGTTAAAGCTTGGGTGCTGAGCTTCTTTATATCACCCTAAACATACAGCCCTAGTAAATGCGAAGTGGCTGAAGGACAAAGCCAACGTTTGGAAGTGGCCTTTGCAAAGATCTGATCTCAATCCCATAGAACAACTGTGGCTCAGAGCTGGACCCTTTCAGCTGCGGCTATTCTTTGTGGGGACCCAGTTATAGAACATTTACGAGTATATATCATTCTCAGATTCTCAGTCCTTCAACAATAACAGGCAGATGATTTACATTAGAAGTAACATTACAAGACAAAGCCATCACAATAATTTCACTTTTTAAAAACATTTCTTTAAACAGTTGTCACACATTCACTGTACAGATATTATTTCAGTGTAGACTTGGATAGTTTTACCTTTCGAATTGATTCTTGGTGAAGTAAAGTTCCTTCCCACCACATGCTTGGTCTTTACTCTCTTGTATCTTGTTTATTGCATGGATATTTTTAACACTTTGAGGCAACTGTGGTTAAAGTTGAACTCATCATTCTAACAGTGCCGTGGCAGGTGCAGATAAATTCACATGTGCGCAGCAAAACTCTGGTCTAGTCGTTTTAACATCTATAATATGTCTTCTGGGGCAGTGCACAACGCCAGACCCTCGCTTCGTTTGCTCCATTTGCTTTATTTTGAACTAAACGTAGAAGTTTGAAGTTTTAGATAAAAAAGAAAATGTACAGCAACCAGCAGTTTTTCCCCAGACCGAGCCCCCAAACCACACCCAAGTAAGAGACAGCTGTGAAATGAAAAAAAAAAAAACATTATATTGTTTTAAATACGGATCTTGAAAATGCTGAAAAGAGAGCATTAAACAGCATTTTAGAATTTTTTTATTAATTCAGTTTTGATAATGCTGAATGCTGATGTGGAATGGCAAGATATAGGGGCTATAAATGAAGTCACTGAAATTAAATCAAATTTTTTTTTTATTAAATGTGGAAAAATGAACAAGGACAAAGGACAAGGTTTGTTTCTGGGGTTTATCAGTTTATCAGTTGTATTTATGAAAAGCTTTTGAGGGTTTGTTGTTGTCTTAATTTCATTCTGTGATTTGTACAGTTTCACAATTTGAGTTAATGCTATGCAACATGGAGAGGGATACGTTTTTCCAGTGGAGCACTATTTTAAGTCGCACCTGATTATAAGCAGCAGGCTATAATTTTTGGAAAGAAATTGAATTTTGCACGTGTACAAGCCTCATTGGATCAAAAGCCGCACCTGTTCCACATTGTAATTTTGAAAAATGTCGCTCAAAAACGTTCATCATGTCTTCTAAGAGTAAGAGGAAGAAGTCATTGACTATTCTTTATCTTGAGTGTGAAGCAGAAAGATAAGGAGCAACTTCTGCTGGTCTCTTTTCACTTTCATGTCTCTACAAAGAACCAAAGAACTATTTATTATATGATACCTGATTTCTGCTTTGTAAACGCTTTGGGTGACCTTGGTCTGTAAAATGCGCTATATAAATAAACATGAATTGCTTACTTACTAATTCAATTGGACTTCTATGAACTCTCATCCCCATTTTTCATCTGTGACTTTTTGCCCGACACTCACCATAGACTTTAAGCCAGTGGCTAAAGAGCATCTCACCAACACAGTATAAGAACCTGGACTTGAATGATGCTGTCAGGTCAAACATCAAAGGCTGAAATACCAAGATCCTCCCATTTCTACTGTAGAGTTCAGAAATATTAAACACAAAATGCAATTGAACAGTACCAGCGACAGAAAAACATTTGCCACAGCAAGAATTGTCCTGGCTCCTTTAGTCATGCCATTTGAGCCAGTTTTGAACAACTTATTTGTAGTTGACTTTTATTTAAATGACTTTAATAAATCAAACATACAAACTTGATTCTGTACTTTTTTTTGAG